GTTTGGATGGTGTTTTGAATCCCGAAGCACCACAAATAAGGAAAAGCAAACGAGGCCGCATCGTGAAAAACTTTGGTCCCGATTTTCACTTGTATTTAGTGGAAGGTACAAGGGATGAAACGGGGGTACAATATTCATATTGTTACCAAGTTGAGGATGATCCAAAGACCTTTAAAGAGGCAATGGAATCCCGAGATGTTGCCTTTTGGAAGGAGGCAATTGATGATGAAATGTCATCAATTATGGAGAACAACACTTGGGTGTTGTCGGATTTGCCACCGGGTTCTAAACCCTTAGGTTGCAAATGGATCTTCAAAAAGAAGATGAAAGTGGATGGAACTGTTGACAGGTTCAAGGCTCGGTTGGTCATTCAAGGTTTTAGACAAAAACCCGGAATTGACTATTTTGACACGTATGCGCCGGTTGCTCGAATTACAACCATTAGGTTGTTAATTGCTTTGGCGGCTATACACAATCTGATTATACATCAGATGGATGTCAAGACGGCATTTTTAAATGGTGATCTTGATGAGGAAGTTTACATGAAACAACCGGAAGGTTTTGTTATGCCGGGACATGAGCATAAGGTTTGTAAACTTGTTAAATCTTTGTATGGGCTGAAACAAGCACCCAAACAATGGCATCAAAAGTTTGATGAAGTTATTTTGTCCAATGGTTTTAGTTTAAACCAATCGGACAAGTGTGTCTATAGCCGATTTGATGCATTCGGAGCGGGTGTGATCATATGTCTCTATGTTGATGACATGCTGATTTTTGGAACGGACCAAAATCAGGTTGATGAAACCAAAAGGTTGTTATCATCAAGGTTTTCCATGAAGGACATGGGGGAGGCGGATGTGATCCTTGGTATAAGGATTAAACGGGTAAACAAAGGGATTGCTTTGACACAAGCTCACTATGTTGAGAATATTCTCAAAAGGTTTAATTATAGTGATTGTTCACCCGTTGGTACTCCCATGGATCCTAGTGTGAAGTTGATGCCTAATAAAGGAAATGCGGTATCACAACTTGAGTACTCTCAAGCTATTGGTAGTTTAATGTATGCCATGACAAGCACTCGGCCGGATATTGCTTATGCCGTGGGTAGGTTGAGCCGGTTTACTAGTAATCCTAGTACTCAACATTGGCAAGCAATGAAGAGAGTGTTCAAGTATTTAAAGGGAACCATGGATTATGGTTTGTGTTACTTTGAGTATCCTTCGGTATTAGAAGGATATTCGGATGCAAGTTGGATATCCAATGTAGAGGATCACTCTTCTACAAGTGGTTGGGTATTTTTGCTTGGGGGAGGTGCCATTTCTTGGGCATCCAAGAAGCAAACTTGTATCACAAGTTCAACGATGGAATCTGAGTTTGTTGCGTTGGCTACCGCCGGTAAAGAGGCGGAGTGGTTAAGAAATTTAATTTTTGAGATTCCATTGTGGGGGAAGCCGATTGCACCTATTTCTATCCATTGTGATAGTGCTGCCACTTTGGCTAAGGCGTATAGTCATGTTTATAATGGCAAGTCTAGACACTTAGGTGTTAGACATAGTATGATTAGAGAACTAATCATGAATGGTGTAATTTCGGTGGAATTTGTAAGATCGCAACATAACTTGGCGGACCACTTGACCAAAAGTTTGGCCCGGGACTTAGTGCACAAGTCTGTTATAGGGATGGGTTTAAAGTCCATTTAATCCTTAATGGTGAGACACCCAATTCCCCTCTAATACAACGTTAGAGGCTGAATTCAATGTGGAAAGCTCACACTTAATGGATTGGAACACACAATGAAAATCATCCCAAGATGTGTGTTCGGACCTGTAGTAGGGAGGCTGAATTTATTTCTTAATAATTCCTTTGATAAAGTGTAAGCAGGTACACGAGTAAAGGAATTACCTATATGATCGTGAAGTGTAGCCGCACTTCAAAAGGCTTGGGACTTGGCTTTTATACGGTCATGAATGGGATTAGGACACACGGCTTTATAATTGTGTCAAGTTTGTATTCTAGTTGAGTATTGAAACTTGTATGTATTTTATCTTGAGGTATTCAAATGGGTTGAAGGGTTCAATCCGTAGGACACCCCGATTCTCGAATATTTTGAATGTGTAAAATACTAAGATGGAAATTCAATCGTATCGACATTTCCATTTATGTGCAAGTTTTGGTTTGTAAGCTTTGTTATGTCATTTCATGGGTTACACTAAAATGGGGGAGGATTGTTGGTGATTTTAGTGTCACCGGCCATTTTGTGTAATTGGAAATGACATGAGTGCCAATGGGAATTAGAACTATGATCTAATACAAGTTAGTAGGTGTGGAGTGCACACTTGTATATAAGAACTAGTTTAGTTCCAAAGTGTCTACGTTAGTGGAACTCGAGGTAGAACTCGAGGTATAACTTTCAGTAGACCAGCTCTGTGGTTCTAGACCGAGTTCTAGAACGGTTAGGCAGTTTCCAGCAGTTTCCCAAAAACTGCTGCGGTTATTCTTAATCGTGTTACTACTGCCTAGGACGATGAATATGGATATATACCACCATTTTTCGTACAGAGGAGAAAGAGGAATCATATCCAACATATCTTCATCACTTTGGCACTCAAATTAAAGATAGCAATCCATATGCTCACTAGTTTGGCTCTAGTTCTTGTGCCTAAGTTCTAGAGTGTCCTTAAGGATTATCCTAGATTGAATTTCTTGTAACCCAGGCATAGGGGAGAAATATCAATTCGGAAAGTGAACTTACACGATCCTTAAGATATCCAAGTACTCGAATTATCACCCCCTACGTGATATACCCCAACAAAATTGTCATAAATTTTGCAATAACATGAAGTAAATACTGTCTCATTATCGAATGGGTGTAATTTTTATTCAACCATTACTGCCTCAACGGGAATAGGTATAATCACGGGTTACCACTTTATTACATGATTTATTTATTTTTAGTATAAAACTTATAATTTAAGAGGCAAAAACCGGCATCGCCTAGACGAATGTAGGCATCAGGTGCCATTTCAAAGTTTTTGTGCATAAAAAAGGCGAGAAAGAAGGCAACATAAATTAGTTAGAACCTAAAATTCATAAATTGATTAACAATTAATCAAGAAAACAATCTAAAAATAACCAAATTAGACTATCAAAATCTATTTGTGAACTTTCATTCATGTGTTATGATGGGTACATGCATCTTTACACAATGAATTGAGAAAAATATTATATTTAATTAGTTGTGAGACAAATAATAAGAAAAAATTGTAATCAAAAGTTCAAATAAAAACAATCAGAGTACCTGGCGGGTAATGGGACTACAGCCATGTGTAAAATTATCACTGCCTCGTTATGAAATAATATAGTTACCCCTCGCCCCGTATTGTTACCCAATTAATGTGATTTTCCTCATTATGACCGGAGCAATTTAGTGTGGGTATTAATTGGATCTGTCACAATTATCATCCCTAGCAATTTGATAGTAGTTGTATTTTCATTTTACTTAAAATTAAAACAAAAGCCTGTTTGTACACGCTAAGTTGTACATGTCTCATTTATTTTTTTTCGTTTTTAAAAAAAGGAATTATGTGGAATATAGCCAAAAGTTAATTGTCTTTGACATAGACAAAAAGTGAATTGTCTAGATAAAGGTGATATTTTTGTCTCACAAACAATTCACTTTACAAAATAAAAAAATGTCTGTGTACATACAAAAGCAAACATTTACACCCAACGTGTACAATTTTGTGAGTACACGAAGCATTCAACTAATTCGGTTAAAATTTCATCGATTTCAATAGATCTAATTGATTTTACCAATTTTGATGTTACCAAATGGTTCTAATATTTGAGGTGTAGTTGAAAGTGACAAATTTTTAACATTATTTAACAAAACATCCGAATGTTTGATGGGAAAAAAATTCTACAGTAGTTTTTGCCTAGATGTAATGCCAGACTTTCACATACATGAACACTACAATTGAGGAGGAGGCTAAAGTAAAAAAGAGGATCTCCAACGATTCCAATTAGTGACTTGCCTGTAAGTTTGGAAACTATTAAGCCTACTAGCCTACCTTTGGAAAGCATTTCTGTCCCTAATTTCGGCAAGCAAACTAGTCAACACAATACAAGCTATTTGCTACAATGAAGAAAAGTTTGAACTCAAATGGCCATTACCAAATACTTTTAATTATATAATAATTAATATATTACATAAAAATATTCAACTATAAAGCTAAAACATTGGAATACAACGGTAAAACGGCACTTGCTTTGTTATTTTTAAGAGTTTTTTTTTTGTACTTTTCATCCTCAACTATTGTATATGTGATAGTTTTGGCACTCCATTTTGATTTTTCCCACTATTACTTATTCATATATTATGTGAGAGACACTTTTAGTACTCGACTACCAAAAATGGAGAACTAAGCATGGAAAGTTTCAAAGTCAATTATCAAAAACTTCTCTCGCACAACAGTCAATTACCAAATACTCGACTACCAGGAAGTGAATTTCTCCAAAATCACAATCCTTGTCAATCCTAATGTTTGTGAGGAGGTTAAGAATGAATGACCTATATGATTTTTTTGGCGTAAGGGAAGAAATATTTGTCACATGATACTTCATCGGTGCAAGTTGACTCTAATAAAAGACTATCTATAGCCAATGCAATGTCATTATGATGATCAGTAGGAATCTTTAGTTTTAATAAATCAAGATCGATATGTACAGGTTTGGAGATATGAAAGTAGACAAAAAAGACAAATGAAAAAACCCATTATGAGCATTTGACATGTGTAGTGACGTTTTGAAATTGAACTGAAAAGGCAAGATAAAATTGGCTTCCCAAAACTATTTTAATGTGTCTTACCTAAATAAGGGGTTAGGCTTCTTATTCAGTTATTCTTGTTGAGTTTAGGCCATTTATTTCTCTATAGAAGCATTTTAGCATTCTTTGTTCTAAGTAGGTCTTAGCATTCATGACTTCATGTGATGTACTTGGAGCGTAAGTAGGATCGAGTGAAATTACAGTGAGAATAAGAAAAAAAACAGGCGGTCAAGGGGTGTCTATTTCTGTCATATGTCATGATGATACATAAGAAGCCTAGTTTAGATGAACTAAAATTGATCCATAGCAGTAAAATAGCTAGTAAACGGTGCATGTCTACAACCTACTAAATTGGAACCCCCGATACATAATACACTCAAATAAAACCAGTAGTAAGAAGATGATCAAACTAAACTGCTAGTAATATTGATGCAAATTCATGGAGTCAAGGTGATTTACTGATACAAGAGATTCTCCATAAGGAAATTCGCAGGAAGTAGCATTATTTTGCTAAAAAGAGTCGAAGCAGATTTTGGACCAGAGCAAATTTTTCCCATGTTATTTATACTTGGATGATCAAATCAATCAGAGACATCAAGAATTCTATATACTCTTCCCCAGAAATGGCAGACTCCATTATGACAAGATGATCAATCATGCCGTCACCTTCCAAAAACGTTTTCAACACATTCACTGTTGTTCTCTCGCCAATCAGTCAACGATGAGGAGCAAGTTTGAACGTCGACGAAAATCTTACTCCAGCAGTACGACAAACCTCCCATGGCAGTGAGCAGATAGTAAGCGGCACCTTCACCCGCTTCGGTCAAACCAGAAATCATCCCAAGGCAACCTCAAAGCAACTACACGGCAGTACTCCAAGCCTCCCGGCGGCACTAACGGTGAGCGAACTGTGTGTCCTTCACCTTCTAGCAGCAGGATACCCATTGGCAATCCGATTTTTTAAAATATTACGGAATACGGAGTTGTATTAATCGGAAAACATCTTTCCAGTTTTCTTTTTTTCATAAGCGTAAAGACACTCATGTCTTTTTGCAATTTTTGCACAAGAGCTACAAAACTCTTGAATTAATTTTGAACCTGCAAGATTTTTTTATCAAATAGCTTCCAAAAGCTAGACACCTTACCTTACTACTAAGCAAAGGAGAGACACAGGATCCCTCTTATAGAGTCGAAATCAATCAATTACCACAAGATTTTTGTACTCATCTCCTGAAATGGCAAACTCCATGACCGCAAGAGGATGACTAATCAACTCTTTCTCCAAGAACACCTTCAGCACATTGTGTGAATACCCACTAACCAACGCCACCCCTTTCTGATTCCCCAAAACCGGCGTCGATTTTGAGTCTTTCAAGTTCCAGAACACGATCTCCGGCACACAGTTCCAGTACCCCTTCTCCCGGAACTTCCTCTCCATCGCCTGGTAATCCGTTTCCGGGGTAAATGACGGCGTTTCATTGAACTCCATGTCGCTGAACACAAACAGCCTCTTGATCATCTGGTCCTCCCTCAGATTCCCATTCACAGCCACTTCCAAGATCATGTCGATTACTTTTTGAAAATCTTTGGTATATTCTATTTCCATGTTTTTCACGAAATCTACATTGCACAGAATGTTGTTTCCTTTGATCGTGTGAAGAAGTGGTTTTTCACTGAAGGTGATGAGCTTCCCCTTCCATGGCTCCTCGCTCAATTCCGAAACTAGGACACCGAGAGCCAAACATGCCTCTAATGAAGCCGCAGGCATCTCCTGCCAATCCAGGGCAAAAGAAACGTCACAGACTGAGAGACAATTCTTAAGCTTCTTCACTCCATTGCTGCTCAATTCATTCACCATTCTGTTCCACCGTAAATCTGCAAGCGCACCTTCATGGTCATTGGAAAGTGATTTGGCGATCTGGTGAGGGAGGAGAATATCCCAATCCTTTGAATCCTCCGGCGATTTGAGAGCATCACGGAGAGGGACGAGGAATTCCTTCCTCAAACGATCCCTGACGCGGTAGGCGTACTGTGAATCCTCAATTCCCTGGTATTCATGGTGGTCTTCTCTCGGGAAGAGCTTCCTGGCGATGCTTTCGCATAACAGAGTGGATCTATCGAAGGATGAGCCTAGAGAAGGGCACCAAATTGCAGCCTCGCTGAGCTGATTCGGAGAAGACCCCTGTTTTAGGGTTTCCAAATCTCTCCTAAGAAACTTCGCAAATAGATCTGAAACTCGATCGTGGAAGTATCTGAAATCGGCGTCGCGATTGTATCTCTGGATGACCTTTTTTGCCTTCTCGATCGTCTTCGATTCTCGTTTGAGCTTCGCATTCGCCTTCTCCTCTTCCATCCTCTTCTGGATCATTAATTTCTTTGCTTCCTTTTGGTCCTCCGTCAAAAGCATCCTCTTCTTCTTCATCTTTTTCTGTTGTTTCTTATTAAGCTTCTTCTTCTTCTTACCTCCAAAACGTATGTACTTGATCTTTTTTTCTTCCCTCCGATATCGTCGCTGCTCCTTTTGACGAACGTCGCCGCCTTCGAGAAGGCGGTAGAGAATCTCCGGTAAATCCTTGAGGTATCCGAAACTCGCGATTTCCTCCAAATTGCAAGCTAGGGATTTGGGGTGGTGCGAGTGAAGCCACAGCGCGGACGCGTAGAAGGCTTCCTTGTCCGATTTCCCGGTGCCGCCGACTCCCCGGAGATTGCAGATGAGTTTGAGCGTCGTCAGGGGATTGTGAGCCCACGAGTTCAGAAGCAATTCGTCGATGGTGCCAGCCGGAGTGTCCGGGACGACGTGATAGAAGAAGTCTAAGCATGGGTTTCCGGTGGAGAGATAGGTATGCGATTCGTTCTCCGTCCTGCCCATCACCGGCTTTCCTATGACATTGTTTCCAGCTGCGTTAAATCCTTTCAGCATCAGATGCATGAAGGAGTCGGCGAGATCATTTTCCGGCGGGGCGGCAGCAGAAGAAGGTGAGGTGTAGAGTTCCGGAGGGCCGAGAAGCATAGACATGGAGGATTTTCTTGGGGTTTTGATCTGGAGATTTAACAGAGAGAATGAATGTATTGTGCTGAACTGCAGAAGTGAAGGGGTTTATTAGCAGCGAAGGGTTGCTTGCCTGCGAAGCAGCAAGGAATCGATGCTCTGTTTGATCAAAAAACTGATCGGATCCCTTTTGCCTGGAAGCCGAGAATCGTTTCAAATTCATTGTATTTAAAATTTTAAACGATTTCCATTCAACTCAGATTCCTTCCCAAATGAGGTTCTTCGTTTTAGGGTGTTTGGGTGAAATTACTGATTCTGCTCCTTCTAAGCTGAAGTGTTTGGTTGAAATTCGAGAAGTACTTCTGTTGTTCTAATTTACTCATAGAATCAATTTTTTAGAAGCTGGGGGTACCAGTTTCTGAAAACTTATGATTCTGCTTCTGCTTTAAAAAAGAAGCAGAAGCAGAATCAGTTCCAAACACACCCTAATTCTGTTCCAAACACCCCCTAATTCTCTTTTATGATACTGGTGTGTTTGACCTTTTAGCGGATAATTAGTCGGTAGGTTTGACTAGCGGAATAAGTTGACTATTCGTAAGAAGATGTGTAATTTAGTTCGTTGGTGTCAAAACTTATTGAAAACGTCGTATTTCTGAACGTTAATCCAAAACTCTCTTATTTGACGCGTTTCAATATGAGTCATTTCATCCAACCACGCTAACACCGACCTACTATTTACCGATCATACATACGAATTTGGCTCATTTTACGATTGTTACGATTCATATTATACGAAGTATAATTCTCTAATATATACGAAGTATTTTGTATAATTAATTTTGAAAAATGGTATACTTACAAACAAACTTACAAAAAAACATATTTGTGTTTTTGTAAGTGTAACATATAGGCCAAATTCTTATAGGTGGAGGCGTGGAGCGATTACTATATTCAAATGACGAATAAATGTGATTTATTTTAAAATAAGAAAAGTATGAATGTCATTATCCATTAGTTCGTCACTTTTTATATTTTATGTCATCAATGATTTATTATATCTCGATCATTACTAGCATTCCCGACACTTATCTCCCTATCGAAAGATTCGAAACATGTCATAGTGACATTTTTTTATGAGTTTTAAATGACAAGGAAGAAATTCAATAAACTTTCCCCCGTTAACTTTTTCTAAATGGTTACTTGAACACGGCCCAAAAATTAAATAGGGCCAATTTTTTTATCCAATTCAAAGTTAAATATGGTGAAAGTCTATATAATAAATTGAGAGTGTCCATTAGATAAAACTAAATGTGAGGACTTTATTGAAGACTTGTGTGAAAGAATGCTTACAATGCTAGATGATTTTATTTAACTCTAGCTGATTTCGTTCAAGTTATGGTATTGACTTTAATATTTTGATTTATTTATCACATACATAGTATATAACTTTTTCTCCACGCGTGATGCGCGAATATATTCCATGAAGACACCAAGTTTCGAACGGTAACAAGTATATATCTTTATTTGATCACTAGTTTTCTACACGCGCGATGCGCGAATGTATAAAATGCCTAATAATGATTTTGATTTTGAAAATGTGGACATTAACACCATGACAAACATCTAGTAAGTATTTATATAGATGATTCGATCACATTCGATGTAATATAAGACATTGACATGATAATTTACGAGATAGGAATGAAAGGTACCGTAAATAAATATCGAGAAAAATATAAGATTCACTAATATACAAAGTAAATATTTTTATAATGCGTAAATTATCCGCATATAACTTTAAATAATACAAATTATCTTCAATGAACCAAGCAAATAATACCTACTTTGGATATAATTTTACAAATGGTTCAATGAAGATGATAATGAAAGATAGGCATTGTCTGAACTCGGTTTATGTAACCTCTATATTGCTATATAAAGCATAGACATATCAATCACATGCAAATTTAGTTGGGCATAATCATTTTTCATTTGCTCATTATTCTCACAAAATTCAGTTGTACTAATCATGTACATTAATATGAAAGTATTAAATAAGTGGCCCTATTGACAAATATCATTTATTTGATGTTTTGATATGGGTAAAGCACTCATGCTTATGAAGAAAATTGGAGCATACTAAGATAGAAGCGACTATAGGCCGGTTAAGTATTTCATGGTCTAGTTGCATCATTGTTGATTTCCCAAAGAGGTGATTGCAGGGTTGAGTCTCATCCTTATCAAGGATGTTGACATTATCATGAGCGTATACTATAATAGATTTAGAAAGATATCACACCCCAAAAAAAATTATAGAACTATGAAAATGTAGTGGCAAATGATAAAAGTAAGAAGTATACCCTTCCTTTTCTATATACAGAGTAATTTTTTCTCAAATCTATTAATAAAATACTCCCTCTGTCCCATTTAAAGTTTTTCACTTTTCTTTTTTAGGAAACAATTTAAATGATAATTTAATCATCAATAACCCATTGTATTACATACTCATTACAATTATTTCTCAAAAATACTCAAATTAGCACATTTAATTATTGTCTTAATAATCGTGTCATTTTGTCAGGAGAACTTTTAAATGGGACGAAGAGAGTATTTTATATGTAGTATATTTTTTTCTACAAATCAAAATTTTCACATAATTCAACCGCTTCAGTTATCATTTCATCAATTTTGTATACTCAGCTAATTAAGCCAATGCAACTTTCAAGTGGTATCGATCGGGGTCTAAGTTTATTAAAAAATCGTGTTGACAGTTCTACTATTTCTATTTTTTTCTTGAGAAAGAAAGGAAAAAAGACATCCGTACTCATAAATCTAATAGCTTATTACATAGTAATATAGTATACATAGTAATTAATGATAGTATTTGTTAAAGCATAAAAGAAAAAGAAAAAACTAATTAAGAAATACGAAGTACTCCTTGTTAAGCGTTGGGAGCAAAAATAGAGGTAGTAGCAGTCTAGCAAAAATAGAGGTAGTAATTGACGATTTCAACTAACGGAGTTTGATGTTCCTTCCGGTATTAAAGTGTTTGATAAACTAAGGTACAGTAATTTTAGCTCAAAATACAAGTTTACATTAACTTATGATTACTACCAACACATTTTCCATACCCAAACTGCTCTTACCTTCATTCACCTTTATAAGATTGTAGAGAAATTATGTTATGTAAATTTGCCTAATTAATGAAACATGTAGTAGAAATTTGATCGTAAGATTACTCATTTGAACTTGTTTTAAACAATTACAAAGTTGACTTAAAGGCCCGCAACTTTCATGAATTCATTTTTTTCAATCACCGGATGCATCCATTTTCAACTAAGCGTGCATGAATCTCTTCAATAAATGTGACAGTGTTGAAGTTCAATCACATTTGGATGGAGTAACATCAATTTGAACTCGTTTTTATAAATTCATTAGATGATTACAACATTCGAAAAACCTTTGAAATCAGGAGAAATGTATCGTATAATTCTAAATTACTCATCCAACTTATAACGAGAGCCTTTTTACTTTTAGTGTTCGAGTCTCAAAACAATAATTCACTCCTTAATTAAATAAATAATTAATATAAAAATATTGAAAAGCTAAAAGAAGGATCTGTTTGCAAGTATGTTAAGAAATCTGTAATATTATTAATACGTAGTAGTTTATAACGCTATTTTTAAAAACAGTAAGCTTTATTTATTTATTACTTTGCATTACATAATGTGCTCTGGTTCATGTTCATGTTCATGTGATGTCAAATGTCTAAGTAATTTTCCTACTGTGAAAAACTATTATCATAATTTTCAATGAACATAAATGGAAATAGATTTATTGGGTGATTGTTTTTTAAGATTAAAAGTCTAGGTTCAGTTGCTCAATACCAAAATGAGTAAAGGGTCAGTTTGGTCCTCGAAGTTGCAAAAAAGGGGTCAAATAAGTCCTTATACAGAAGATTCTGTCCGGACGTGCCATTTGAGGTGGCTCCCGGTAGAATTTTTTGATGAAATTTTTTGAGCATCTTATTCATTAAGTCTAGTTTACTCATATCAAATTTCAGCTAAAAATTCAATTGGGGAGACATTCAAATGAATTCTTGAAGATAACTGCGCTTTTAACGGCACAGTTATCTTCAAGAATTCATTTGAATGTCTTCCCGATTGAATTTTTATCTGAAATTTGGTATGAGTAAACTAGACTTAATGAATAAGATGCTCAAAAAATTTAATCAAAAAATTCCACCGGGAGCCACCTCAAATGGCACGTACGGACAGAATTTTCTATATAAGGACTTATTTGACCCCTTTTTTGCAACTTCGAGGACCAAACTGACCCTTATCCCATACCAAAATATTCCAGTAACGTTATAATACCGTCACCTTTCATTTAAGATGCAATCTTTTTGTCCCATATATCGATTTAAAAACAGACAAGGTCGGGATAGCGAAAAGCTACCACATTCCATCTCGTTGTATTGTTTGCATTAAGGAAAATTTTCTAATTGATCGAGAGTAAAAACCTTCCGGAGTTTGAATAGGGGTGTTATATTTTTATTCTCTAAATATAATAAAATATAATAAGAGTAATTACTGTCAATTAAGTTTAAACTCTGATAATATCAAAACATCACGATAATTACTCCTATTTTGATAAACAAAAATATGATAGTTCTATTTTAAAATTGACAAACATTTTTAATAGTATAGAGTTTTTTAGCGTTCACCTAATTTGTAGTGCAAGTTAAAAAAAAATAGTATCCTTTTGATTTTACAAACTCAAATTGTCTAAGTGAAAGAATAATAATACATACATAACATAACTATCTAATAGTCTAGGTTCCTTTATCGTTTCATATACTTGCATCAGAGTTTCTCAGAATTAGTAGACATTAAATAAACTGAGTTGTATATTATTCGTATCGAATCTGAATTACAGGGTTAACGTACATCATTATATACAACATGCTCTGCTATGCTTCGGCTAAAACTACGCAACAATAAGGCTGGCAAAGTGGAGTCCCACTCCAATGCTACAACTAACGGCTGGAGTTGATTACAACAAAAAATGTACATAAAATAATACACCGGTATTCAAAATAAATCTTATCAATAACACTGCATGCATGCGTTCATGACTTCATGGAGACGTATGTTCCAATACCCCCCTCAAGATGGAGCATGGGGATCTTGAATGCCCATCTTGGCAAGTAAATAATGGAATTGAGATGCACCGAGGGCTTTTGTGAACAAATCCGCTAACTGTTCCGTAGTAGAAATATGGG